TTGTGGTTTTAGTATGTGCTAAAAGTAAAAGTAGCAGCATCTTTCACTAAAGATCAGGAGAGTCTTAGGACAACTAGATAGATGAAATAATGTTGGTCTCTACCAAAGTCCTTATTAAGGTAAATTTTAGTTGAATTAGAGATTCAGATAATTTAAAAATACTAAAATTATTAGGAAAAAAGTCCATGAAAATATATGGTCTAAAAAACAAGAAAATCCAGGAACCATATAACTGCCATATGTAATTAATAAAAATTACCCATTTCTTCAGAGTAAATAGGTCTATTTATAGGTGTGCACATATGCATATAACACCCTGGGAAAACTTACTATATATTACACACACACAAGGGTAATATCTCTGTTATAAGGCATTATTTATCCATACCAATAAAACCCCCAAAACAGAAAGCTGGCAAGTGATTGAAGCTTGAAACTTATGTATGAAATGCTTAAAAACAAAGATATTCCTTTTTTTTTTTTTTTGAAGAAATGAGACTTGAATCCAACATTTTTTGAAAGTTTATATTATAAACTTAATAGTGGAAAGGGACTCTAGATAGTTAAGAAATAGACTTTATATATACTTTATGCTACCTGAATTTATCATGTCAATTTAGTGCCTTATAAAACACAGTTTGGAAAAATAAAAGCACTGTGCCTAATCAAAATGAAGAAAAACAAAAGCAATGGTTATTATACAGAAAAATAAATCATGTATAGACTGCTAAGATCAATATACTTACCCTAAACTCCTGAGTGATACCATATACTCCTTTTTTCTCAAGAATTTTCAGATAATCCTTGAAGGCCGATTGCTTATCAAAGTTGAAAATCCGTGGTTGAATATGAGTCAACTGAGCTAGTTCTTCTTCAGAAACAATGTTTTGTGTATCTAAGAAAAAGAAAAATTCACATTTATAAGTGCCTTGTATGAATGTGAGGGGAAACTTAATATCTTTGCTGGGATTTTTTTCTTATTAAAGACAATTATTTGACTACTTATGGGTGCATGAAAGCTTTTCCAAAAGTAGAGTTTGTCACTCTGAAAGAGAATACCTTTTTTTTTTTTAAGGACATACTGTGGTATTTTTAGGAAATCCTTGCCATTAAATGGCATTTAGCAGCAGCATTCACCATGTCTTTGATCATATTGCAGAAAGACATGAAAGAGGACTTCCAGGAGCAAGGAAGAGCATTTAGAGGGCAATTAATGGCAATGTATCTTTGACTTTAACACATTTTTTAAAAAATTAAAATTCACCATATATATTGATCACACCTCATATTTCTGAACACCAAAACTGAACAATGCAGACACTAAAACTATGATTAAAAGGCTCGTAACAAATAAAAACCCATAAGAGATAGCTTCATTATTCCATTTTACCAAACTTAAGGAAAAACACAACTTTTCAAAATATTTTAAAAACTGGCAAGCAGAGAACTGTTCCTAAGTCATTCTTCAAGGGCAGAATTTCTTTACTTCAAAACCAGAAGACAAGAAAAGACAATAACAGATCAACATCCCTGAGAAATATAAATATAAGACTTCTCAACAAAATACTACTTGATGATTGTTACAGTTTGTGTCTAGATGTCCCCTGAAAGCTGCATGCAGACATCTACTTTATGACTGATTCATGGTCTAATGCTGGGACTATGGGTGTGTTACACCTGCCCTGGCTTATATACAGTATAAAGGAGGGAAAGAGGCTTGCTCTCTGCTTTCCTTCCTTTTTGCTCTTTTTGCTTTTGCTGTTTTCCTTTGCCATGAACTGTTGCTCTCTGTCATTATGCCACTCTCCCTGGGAGCCAGCCAAATCTGGATGGAAATCTCCATAAACTATGAGCCTTTCCTTCCTTAATTCTGAGTGTTGGGTATTTTGTCCCAACAATGAGATAAAAGTAACCAAGACAATGATAAATTTTTGTTATTCAAGCCACCTAGTGTGAGGAAAATGCTAAGAAATTAACTAAAATATGTAATCAAAAACCTGAACAAATTCCAGCTCCAGATGACTTCACTGATACATTCCACCAAACACTTCAGGAAGTAACAATATCAGTTCTATCTGAACCACGATGGCAAACTGTTTAGCGCTTTCAATGAAACAAACAGCCCACTGTGGTATACATACTGTAGGTTCCCATCTCTTCTAGAATACAAAATGGGAGGGAACACATTCCAACTAATTTTGTGATAGCAGCATCACCCTATACTAAAAACAGAAAAAGATACTGCAAAAAAATGAAAAAAAAGAAAAGAAAACATATCTATCATGAACATACAAGTGAAGGAAAATACTAGCTTCTATAGTTTAGGGTTTTGCAAGGGGAACATACAACATAGGACACTTAATTATAAGTCCAGCTGAAAGCCTAGAGCTGACAGTAATGTTCCCAGAAGTCAACTGGAGGCCATAACAATGTCTCATGCAGACCTATTTCAAGGATCTGCACTGGGAAGGCTGCAAGGTAGCTAGAAAGTCTGTAGACTGGCATGAAGGACCTGTGCTGGCAAGCTGAAGGATCTGAACTGGAACCAGGAAGCCTAGTTTAAAGTGAGAAGCAGAAGCAGTGGCGCTCCCCCAAAGTGAACCCTAGCCATCCTCAGCAACAGTGAGGTCCTGAGCTCTTCTGACAATGAGGAAAACTGAGTTCTCTTCAGGAAAGCCAACGTGACAAATTTCTCCAGTAGACTCAGCTAAGCGCCACCATCCATCCCCTCTGGAGCCAGGAAGCTATCCTTAAAAGTGAGGACTAGAGTTCCCCAAAGTGAACTGTAGCCATTCTTAGGGACAACAAGTTCCTGAGCTCCTTCAATATTGAGAACAGCCAAGTTCATCAGGAAAACCAACATGATGAGCTTCTCCAGGAGAATCAACAGCTCCCTACAACCTCCCAACTGCTTGCAAATGGCTCCAAACAGCTCCAAACTGCTTTTCTTTTCTTTTCTTTTTTTTTTAAACACTGTATTTACTAAGATTCTGGCAACAGCTTTATGTACAAGATACAGCATACCAGGCCTGACACTCAACTTGTTTGTCTCAGCTTCAATATGAAGTTATTTAAAACAAAACTCAAAACTTGCTTTTTACATGTTAAATATCTTGACAAAGGTGCCATTAAACATAGTAATGAACTTGAGACAGTACAAATAAGAGTTAACAAAAGCTAAACTTGTAGCCCAAATAACACTCATACAAAAAGTAAAGCAACTATCATTGGTTACATAAAATTTTCCTGACAGGTTAAAACTTAACAGTATAAAACATGCATTTTAGAATCTTTAGCTATTAAGTTCAAAAAGTACCAGTGTCCTCATGAAATAATTTCTCTCCAAAGCCAAAGTACAGTCAAAAATTAATTCAAATGACATAACACATTCTAAAGCTAAAAAACATTCAGTTTTTGTTGATGTGGAGGTATAAACTCAGAGCTTTAGGGCTTTCTCACACTGAAAGGGCTGTTTCCTGGTTCACTCAAAGCAGCAGATGACAAAGTCCACAGATGCCATTAAGCTCAATAAAGGGTAGGAGGGCTCCTACTCAGCTCTGACCTCCCAGGAAGCATGGCTACTGTGTCCACAAAAGTAGGAGGTGTGAGGACCAAAGGCACACTATTCTGCTAGCTAAAGAGATGACAAACCACCACCCCCACCCTAAAAGCTCCTTCCTGAGGTAAATAAAAAAATATACAAGGGGGAAAATTTAAGATACACTTAACTACAGAGTAAGGATTTCAAAATAATAATGTAATCCCTACTTTAAAAAATTTAACTAGAGTCATGTAGCCATTTCTGATTACATCTTAAGATGTATCCAAATTCATTTCTATTGATCACTAGATACTTCTAGTCAAAATATTAGCTTTCCCCAAATATTTTAACCATGAGTATGACTGCAGTGTGTTATCTCCGAGGTTATCATGCAGTGGAGGAGAAAAAGTAGATGTTCAAGCAACAAGCAACAATTATGGCCCTTTTACACAGCGGTACTGAAGTGCCTATTGAATAGTCCAGGAACAATTCTAAGAACAAGAAAATCCATGCATGTTAGTAAAAATACTGGAATTTCACAGTTGAAATCTCTTTAGACATTGTACTTTCTTCATAGGGGAGTCCTGGTTTTTGTTAATGCTATGGTGACTCAGGACTTGAACTAGTAGCCTTCTTTTTCTTCTTCTTACTGTGTTTCTTACACTTCTTTATCTTTTTTGTTTTTTCTGTTGCTTTTTTTCATTCTTCACTGCTTTTCTTCTTTTTCGCGCCTACCTCTTCAGTATGATGTGATTCTGACAAGGACTCAGATGAAGGTGGTTTATCTTCAGGATACATCTTTCTTTTCTTGGTAAGTCCTTTAATGTTCTTTTCTTTCTCAGTTGCATCTTTTGACTTCTTTTTCTTTTTTAAACTATCCTTACTGTCTGACTCAGTTTCTGACAGGGAGCTTTTAGAAGATTTATATGAACGGTTCTACTTTTCCTTTCTCCTTTTTGCTTGCTTCTTTTCCTCATCCTCAGAATCTGAAGAACTACTGGAAGAATCAGAGCTCAATGAAGAAGATGAATACCTACCAAATTTCTTCTTTTCTTTCTTCCATTTTTTTTTTTGGGGGGGGGGATGAGCTCTCATTTCCACTTAATAATTTCTCTCTGTGCTTTTCTAGCTCTTTCTTCCAATTCTCATTCATTTTTTTCTTCAAATTCAGTCAATGCCTTAGAGCCTTTCTTTTTCTTTTCTAGTTGCTCTTTCATTTCTTCCCAGGTAGGCCTGGGTTGATTCAGATAATCCTGGATGGTTGACCCTGAAGACTGCATGGACCTCTTGATCTGGCCATTGCTACTGGATTCATGTAGGCCACCCGATTGTCCCGTTTCCCCATGCTGCCGGATGGAGCACCCAGTTAAGACTGCGAAAGCTAGACCAGGCTACAGACGCAGACAAAACAGGCCCACCATGGATCCTTCTCCAAACTGCTTTTCTAACAAGCTCTCTACAGCTTCTAAACTTCTCTAGTTCTGCCTCTCACGCTGCTGGCAACAATCTTCAGGTGGGCCTTCCACACCTAGCACCATGCTGGTTCAGTTAAACTGAGTATCACAAACTGGCCGCCAGTTGTCAGTCCACCATGCTGGTAATCAAATCAATCAACATCTGAAAACAATTCACCATGACAAAATTGGGCTTTTCCTGGGAGTGGAAAGCAAGTTCAACATTTTGAAAGTAAACCTCATTCACCTTTTCAGTAGACAAAAGAGGAAAAATTCTGTATCATCTCTATAGATGCAGAAAAGACATTTACAAATTCAAAACCCATTCATGGTAATTTTCAGCAAACTAGTATTAGAAGAGACTTTCTCAACTTGACAAATGGCATTAACAGAAATCCTATAGTTAACATTGTATTTTATGATGAAAACTAGAATGGTTTCTCCTCTAAAGTGGAGACTGCTAAGGATATCCACTCTCTTTCTGTTGTTCAATACTGTACCAAAGATCTTAACTGGTACAACAAGAAAAAGATATAAAAAGCAAACATATATTCACTGGCAACATATGCATACACATTGGGAAATTAAACATATATGTATATAGGTATGTACGTATCACATAAATATAAAAGAAAAGAAATCCTAGAAATATTGAGTTCAGGAAGGTTGTTGAAAGACACAAGGGGAATATATAAAAATCATATTTCTTAACACTAGCAACAAATAATGAAAGTTAAAATATTCTTACAAGCCCAATTTATAAATACACTAAAACATAAAACTTAGCTACAAATTTAACAAAATATGTATGTTTAGACTACAGTCTGTAAGTTTAGACTACAAAACAAGGAAACATTAATGAAATCAGACCTAAGCTAAATGAAAAATGCTTCTATCAAA